GTTTATGTTCAATAAAAATATATTCTCTTTACATTTGAAAACACATATAAACTGAGCAGTTTTAGCTACAGAAGCAGAGAAAGATAGTGACAGTTGGGTGTAGTTAGGAGTATGACCACGAAGTGCCGATATTGGCCCTGTGAGGTGACAAAAAATAAAAGAGAAACAAGGTGGATCCTTTATTGCTAAAACATATCTACGTATATCGTTATTTGTTATTATAGTATAAAATAGTATTTTTGTGACATCATTAATGTGACTTAATACCCGGAATCAAACCGGAACGCTCAAAATGTCCAAATTCTTAAAGAATTTCACACTTCCTGGTTAACTTTCGCATTGGCCACAGGCGTCGACCTAAGTAATTTTACTCTTATTTTGATTGTTTGACACTTTGACTCAGTTTGCAACAATATTTAGCGTGGTCCAGGCCTGTGGCCACATCGAAAATTTAACTTTTGCTAACAAGCAAATCCTGATTCAACGCCACCATTTCCGAGGTACGATAGATGAGGGGCCTGATGGGGGGGTCTCATCACGATTCACGAGTTGATTTTTTTGTCAATCACGATTCACAGAAAATAAATTTCCATGATCACGGATCACGAAAATATAAAAAAAAAAAAAATCTGTAGAAAAACGGATCACGATAGCGAAAAATGTGCCGATCACGAAAAACGAAAATAACCCATCAGGCCCCTCATAGATTCTCAGTGACGAAATAACTGTACCAAGCAGAGGCGGATTTAGAGGGTTTTTCAGGGGGCCCGGGCCCTCCCTTTTGTGGAAAAAATTTGGTTGATTATATAGGGAATCACTGAAGCATGACTGGAGCGGGCCCCCTCTTAGGCAGTCAGTAGGCCCCCCCCCCTTTTGAAAATTTCTGGATCCGCCACTGCCAAGAACTTGTGAAATTGCTATAAATAGAAGAAATTCTATAATTTATTATTTTCTTATTTATAACAAACAAAAAAGAAGAAAATGGAATAACAAGTCTTTGTTTTTAGCGAAGCTTAGTTAACCACCGATCCGGAGAGGTTTTTAAACACAGATAGATACGTCCTCATAAGACATAACTGTTTTTATTAGAAAACAAGACAAATTGGTGGAAATAAAAATTATGAATTTGCAAATTATTTTAAAGTTCATTTTCACGTTATTTTTTAATAATTAGCCCGGTATGTGCTATGCAAACAAAAATATGACAGTTTTAAATAAGAGTCGTAGTTTTTTTCCGTAAAATTCTACATCCAGCAGATCGATATGGGTGTCAACATAAAAATTTAGTACAAATGTCCTTTTAGATACATGTATTTTGTTTTTTAAAGACGAAATCGTCGAAATGTAACCTCTGCGGAATGTAATCTCATGTTGACGCTTTGATAAAGTGCTTTCTTTCACATCCGCATTTTCTATCATGTATGGCATGCCAAGTTAACATTTTAAATAATTACTACAGATGGTGTAAATAAATTACAGAACTATGAAAATAACATACGTAGAAAATCGTAGGACATAAGAAGAAACCACTAGAGAATTTTGATATCATATTGAACAGTGGTTAAATAAGCTTTTCAATATTTCTTCAATTAAAATAAAAATTACGACGCCATGAGAGGGCATGGTGTATACTGTCCGTGACATTCAACCAGAACAAATGTTTGTTTTCTATGAAAACTGAAATAAATATGAAACAAAACTATCTGGCACAATAATATAGCTTGGGTAACTTCAAATAAATATCTGATATTCACGTGGGATAGCGTGCATAATTGGTCAGAATGCATACAAGGAGCAATTGTTTATTAGGTCCCTTTTTTGTGGTCTCTTTTAAATTTGAGTGAGACTATGTTACAAAAGACCATCAAAAATGGCTGCTTACTATGAATAAATTATCTGTAATGTGGAAAGACCTTTAATTGTTCTCTGAACAATTGGTTTTTAATTTTTTTTTTTCTTCCGCCAAATTTGTTTCTTGCGTGTAAATTTTGTTTCGCAACATGTCGCTTAGATATTTGGTAAATGTTATAGAACAGTTTATGCACTTTTAAATTTGACCCTGTTAAACTGAACTAGTTTCTTTGTAAGAGTTATCTCCCTGAACACTGTTTTTATACGCCCGTTTTCGGGACGTATTATGGTATACCGTTGTCCGTCTGTCCGTCCGTCGTCAACATGTCGGACATTAACTCAAGAATGCTTTAACCAATTTGCATAAAACTTTGATGAATTGTTTATATCTATTGACGTGAGCTCCCTTTTGTTTTTTATAAATTTTAGATTTTACGTTTCTGAGTTCAAGGGTTTTATTCATTAAAAAAAGGGTGATTTTCCAGTTTTCGGACAATAACTCAAGAATGCTTTCACGAACTTGCAAGAAATTTTGGTTATTTTTTATATCTATTGACATGAGCTCCCTTTTGATTTTTATAAATTTTAAATTCTGTTTCCAAGTTACGGGGTTTTATTCATAAAAAAAACAGTGATTTTCCAGTTTTCGGACAATAACTCAAAAATGCTTTCAGCAGTTCTCATGAAACTTTGATGAATTGTTGATATTTATTGATGTAAGCTCCCTTTAGAATTTTATAAATTTTAGATTTTACATTTCCGAGTTATGGGGTTTTATTTATTAAAAAAGGGGGATTTTCCAGTTTTCAGACAATAACTCAAAAATGCTTTCAGCAATTCTTATGAAACTTTGGTGAATTTATTATATCTATTGATGTAAGCTCCCTTTAGAATTTTATAAATTTTATTTGTTTATAGTCTTACAACAGATTTACTAAGTATTGTGCAACAGCAAGAAATCGTTAATTGAATATAAATTCAATTCATATAACCAATTTCAAGTTCTTTGACTCAATTATTCAGAAACCTATATGTCGAATATTAATTACAATCCAAATTCAGACCTGTATCAAGCTTGAATATTGTGTCCATTTTTGCCCCAACTGTTCAGGGTTGGACCTCTGCGGGGGTATCCAGCTGCGCTCAGCGAAGCAGTTTACTCCTTCTCCTTTGCAACTGTAAAAGAAGTCGACAAATTTATTTTTCCAAATTGCTCATTAAATCCTCAGGATGCCTCAGTCTATTTTAACCAAAGCGATACTGAGCCTCCATATGAGAGTTATTTCCCCTTTTGTATTTGACATAAGTGATATATGAATGTAACTCATGAACCGTAAGTGATAGAGACCTAGGGTATCTTGATTTGAGGTCCTTGGTACACCAACATGAAAATTGTGTCAAGGTCAAAGGTGAAGGTCATTTTCTAAATTTTGCCCTTTGCTTGTGTGTGCATCTTATCTTATACTATAAAAGCTACATATAAAAGAACTGATGCTAAATGTTTGGGTTGTTGAGACGAACAAATGGTACATTTAGTCTGAAGCGATCTGATTATACCTTATAGGAGTTATTGCCCCTTAAAAGTTGAAATTTAAGGTAAATCGAATATATCTTCATTCTGGTACATGATGAAGTCATAGTGACTTTTGCAAAAGGTTAGTTGACACATGACCTTGACAAATAACAACAGGAAGTGAACTTGTGCAAACCGGAAGTAGGTTTTTTTGCACTCATTTAAGGAAAAAATACTAAATAAACTATTTATTTTTAAAATCAGCATACCTTTTAGATAACACCAGAAGTCACCTTCTTTAAACTGGAAGTAGCTTATAAGTCCTTTATTTCAAAGAAAAGTATATAGAAACCATATATTTTCGGAATCAGTGGAAAATAAGCTATCTTTTGAAACCGGAAATGACATTTTCTTAACCGGAAGTAGCAAATTATCCCCATACTTGAGACCAAAAGTATATGAAACCATATATTTTTAGAATCAGTGCAAAAAAAGCTGTCATATGAGTCTGGAAATGGCATTTTCTTAACCGGAAGTAGCAAATTATCTCCCATATTTAAGACAAAGTATAAAGAAACCATATATTTTTTGAATCAGTATGAAGAAACCTAGGATTGGACTCCAATAGTAAACCAAAAGAAGCTTCTCATCAGTTATCTAGAAATGTAATGTGGAAAGACCTTCAATTGTTCTCAGAACAATTGGGTTTTAATTATTTCTCTAATTTTTTGGCAATTTCACCCTTTCCGAATCCATTGATTAAAAAAAGTTAATCAACGTGTGGTTGCCGATAATGTCAGAAGATGATCGGCTAAGTTAAAAGGTCACAAACCTTTATCAGCTCCCTGGATGAAAGGAAAAGTGCTAACAGGTGTTAGAAAAATTGACATCTTAACATTTGAATCACATAGAAATTCAGAATGTGGATGGCATTGGAAGTGGATTTTATTTTATTAAAAATGAAAATTGATTTAATAATCATTATATTAGAGAAACAGATTCTTACATAATACCAGTGGATTATAGGATTTATCCAATCTTGATAGTTCAATTATCGAGTTTTAAAGTCCTCGCCAATGCTCAAGTTTTAAAACTCGATAATTTAACTATCTCGATTGGATAAATCAGATAATCCACTTGTACCAATGTGAGAATATATGGGTCAGGATTTTCATAAAACTTTAATATATGAAAATAAAATGTGTTTCTAAATTTGGTGTGACTGAAGCGCTTTTCTTGATTTACCTTCTTCAGGAACTCTCAAACCCAAATGTTTGATAGCCAAGGATGTATGAATATCTGAATACATGAGAGCTATATATGCCTCAAAGGAATCTAATAATAATCGCCAAAGGTCAACTTTACCCAAGGAAAGTTTTTTAATAACTTCTAAATTTATCAATGAATAGTTGAAGAAAGTAGGTTATAAATCATATCAGTACGGATAAAATTAAATATAATCAGAAAATAGGTATAGACCATATATTACATTTGAATTTGTTATTAGTGTTATTCGTGCTGATGCATATTCAACAATTTGAATTTGATGGTGTACTTGATAAATATACATATGATATATGCAAGTTGTGGTTTATATTGATGATTAGTTTCTTATAGTATGTCTATTTTTTTATAGCTCTAGCGGAAGACTTAAAGCATGTAACAGTTGAGTATATCACCCTTCCTGGTTGGAATCTGGACACTTCAAAAGCTAGATCATTTAGTGATCTTCCTCCTAATGCTCAGGCTTATGTCAGGAAAATACAGGAGTTAATGAATGTACCAGGTGAGTTTATAGAAACAGAGCTTTCAATAGTTCTCATTTATCAGAGAAAACAAGATGGTGTTGACAATGTGATTAAACAGCCCCATTTTTAGCTCACCTGGCCCAAAGGGCCAAGTGAGTTTTTCTCATCACTTGGCGTCCCTCGTCATCGTCGTTAACTTTTTATACGCCCGTTTACGGGACGTATTATGGCATACCTCTGTCCGTCCGTCTGTCCGTCGTCAACATGTCAGACATTAACTCAAAAATGCTTTAACCAATTTGCATAAAACTTTGGTGAATTGTTTATATCTATTGACGTGAGCTCCCTTTCGTTTTTTATAAAATTTAGATTTTACGTTTCCGAGTTATGGGGTTTTATTCATTAAAAAAAGGGGGATTTTCCAGTTTTCGGACAATAAGTCAAGAATGCTTTCACCAACTTGCAAGAAATTGTGGTGAATTGTTTATATCTATTGACATGAGCTCCCTTTCGATTTTTATAAATTTTAGATTTTATGTTTACGAGTTATGGGGTTTTATTCATAAAAAAAGGGGGGATTTTCCAGTTTTTAGACAGAAACTCAAAAATGCTTTCAGCAATTCTTATGAAACTTTGGTGAATTGTTTGTATGTATTGATGTAAGCTCCCTTTAGAATTTTATAAATTTTACATTTTACATTTTTGAGTTATGGGGTTTTATTCATTAAAAAAGGGGGGATTTTCCAGTTTTCGGACAATAACTCGAAAATGCTGTCACCAATTCTCATGAAACATTGGTGAATTGTTTATATCTATTGATGTAAGCTCCCTTTTTATTTTGATAAATTTCTAATATGACATTGAGAATTTATTGAACTTTATTTGTTTATAGTCTGACAACAGATTTACTAAGTATTGCGCAACAGCAAGAAATCTTTAATTCAATATAAGTTCAATTCATATAACCAATTTCAAGTTCTTTGACTACATTTATTCAGAAACCTATAATATGTCAAATATTTAATTACAATCCAAATTCAGACCTGAATCAAGCTTGAATATTGTGTCCATTTTTGCCCCAACTGTTCAGGGTTGGACCTCTGCGGGCGTATCTAGCTGCACTCAGCGAAGCAGTTTATTACATTTTGAACTTCTTCTACAGAACCACTGAATAGAATAAAACCAAACATGGTATGAATGTTCCTTACGAGGTGCTGACCAAGTGTTGTTACTTTGAAGCCAATCCATAATCCAAGATGGCCGCCAGCGGGGGACTTAGTTTAACATAGGACCTTATGGGAAATACATACAAATGTCTTCTTTTAGAGAACCACTGAATGGAATGAAACCAAACATGGCATGAATGTTCCTTATGAGGTGCTAACCAAGTGTTGTTACTTTGAAGCCGATCCATAATCTAAGATGGCCGCCAGCGGGAGACTTTAATAGTTTAACATAGGACCCTATGGGAAATACATACAAATGTCTTCTTTTAGAGAACCACAGAATAGAATGAAACCAAACATGGCATGAATGTTCCTTTTGAGGTGCTGACCTAGTGTTGTTACTTTCAAGCCGATCCATAATCCAAGATGGCCGCAGCGGGGGACTTCGTTTAACATAGGACCCTATGGGAAATACATACAAATGTCTTCTTTTAGAGAACCACTGAATGGAATGAAACCAAACATGGCATGAATGTTCCTTATGAGGTGCTGAGCAAGTGTTGTTACTTTGAAGCTGATCAATAATCCAAGATGGCCTCCAGCAGGGGACTAAGTTTAACATAGGACCCTATGGGAAATATTTACAAGTGTCTTCTTTTAGAGAACCACTGAATGGAATGAAACCAAACATGGCATGAATGTTCCTTATGAGGTGCTGACCAAGAGTTGTTACTTTGAAGCCGATCCATAATCTAAGATGGCCGCCAGCGGGGGACTTAGTTTAACATATGGCCCTATGGGAAATACATACAAATGTCTTCTTTTAGAGAACCACTGAATGGAATGAAACCAAACATGGCATGAATGTTCCTTATGAAGTGCTGACCAAGTGTTGTTACTTTGAAGCCGATCCATCATCCAAGATGGCTGCCAGCTTGGGACAATGTTTAACAAAGGACCCTATGGACAATAAAGACAAATGTCTTCTTTTAGAGAACCACTGAATGGATTGAAACCAAACGTAGCATGAATGTTCCTTATGAGGTGCTGACTAAGTGTTGTTACTTTGAAGCTGATCCTTCATCCAAGATGGCTGCCAGCGGGGGGACTTCCTTTAACATAAGACCCTATGGGAAATACATACAAATGCTTCTTCTAGAGGTGCACTGAATGGAATGAAACCAAACATGGCATAAATGTTTCTTATGAGGTGCTGATGAAGTGTTGCTAGTTTGTTGCTGATTTACTGATCAAGATGGCCACCAGGATTTTTTTTAAATTACTGGGCCAATATTAAACCAAATTTGGTCTCTTTATGAGAGTATCTGTTATGATTTTAATCTATTTTTACATGATTTCCAAAACCGAAGTAGAATCAGGTGAGCCACACAGGCTCTTGAGAGCCTCTAGTTCAATATTATATTGTTACTGTCTTCCTGTTAAGCCATCTCCATTAAGCTGACAACTTTTTTACATGTTACAGACACCATAACAGGTATTGTCCATTTGAGTGAGGTTATTATAAATTCAGTTTTGCAAGACATAGGGATTACTATCTAGCAGCGGTGGTGGTGTAATCTATTTGTATTAAGCTTTATATTTCAGAAGGTAAAAGACCTGCATGCTTCCTAGTGATACCTTCTATGCAGATACCGTATGTTACAATGTTTTGGTCTGTCATATGTCCATTGTCCTTGACCTCATTTTCATGGTTCAGCAACTACTTGAAAAAAATTATAGTTTTTGTGTCATGTGAATTTCTCACTTATTATGAGTAATAGGATAATAATATGTGGTATATGGGTTCCTTGCAACGTCTACATGTCCGTCAGACAGGGTTCACCTAACCTTGACCTCATTTGATGGATCAGTGATCAAGGTTAAAGTAACGTAATTAGGTCTGTTTCTCAGATACTAATAGCAGTAGGTCAACTATATTTAGTGTAAGGAATAATTGTAAGGTGTACATGTCTGTCTGACAGCATTTATCTGACCATGACCTCATTGTCATGGATCTTTGAAAATGTTAAGTTTATGTGATACTTGTAGTAAAACCTTTATCTTTAAGACTTTCAACATAACATCAATGGTCAGTAAAGCAGGTGAGACATTTTATTGTATGCACTCTTGTTTCATGTGAATTTCTCACTTATTATGAGTAATAGGATAATAATATGTGGTATATGGGTTCTTTGCAACGTCTACATGTCCGTCAGACAGGGTTCACCTAACCTTGACCTCATTTGATGGATCAGTGATCAAGGTTAAAGTAACGTAATTAGGTCTGTTTCTCAGATACTAATAGCAGTAGGTCAACTATATTTAGTGTAAGGAATAATTGTAAGGTGTACATGTCTGTCTGACAGCATTTATCTGACCATGACCTCATTGTCATGGATCTTTGAAAATGTTAAGTTTATGTGATACTTGTAGTAAAACCTTTATCTTTAAGACTTTCAACATAACATCAATGGTCAGTAAAGCAGGTGAGACATTTTATTGTATGCACTCTTGTTTAATTACAGTGTTTATTTTGAAGAGTATCTTTATGTAGTGCTTACAAATATTAATCTACAAACTCACATGTAATATTTGTCTCAGCTGGTAAGCTATAAAAGGAATCGGGTTTAAATTAATCGTTAAATTTTTTAAGAAAGAAAAAGTTGTCAATAAGGTCTTAAGTTAAAAATATGTCGTCGTGGTAAATATAAGACAATGAAGTGAATGCATTAACTGTGACAGCAACTGATCAGGAGTTCTATTAACAATTATATAAAACATACTTTAGATATAGATTAAAAATGTTCCTCTTGGTCAAGCATATGTATATCTGTGAAGGTTACTGTAGATGACATCTGAATGGCTGTTGTGACCATAAATGGTACCTCCCCCTGTATTAGTTGGATGTGAAAGTATATATTAAAGATTGTAAATAATCAAGTTTTTTGAATAATTGACAAAAGTTCTTGCAAAAAATGTGTGATTAGGCTTAACAATTAGCGATTAATCCTAGAGGGGGTATGTGTTTTGATGACCTTATTATAAAGTAACAAGCTGAACTGGTATACATTTTTAATCGGCTATCCCACCCACCGTCCCCAGCTACACCATCTGGGTTTCGAATAAGATACTTATATCTTACCAGTATGTATTTGTTTAGTGTATAGATGGATAGCAAAGCTATGCACAACAGCAAGAAATCTTTAATTGAATATAAATTCAATTCATATAACCAATTTCAAGTTCTTTGACTACATTTATTCAGAAACCTATAATATGTCAAATATTTAATTACAATCCAAATTCAGACCTGTATCAAGCTTGAATATTGTGTCCATTTTTGCCCCAACTGTTCAGGGTTGGACCTCTGCAAGCGTATCCAGCTGCGCTCAGCGAAGCAGTTTATTTTTATATGCTGAATCTAACCATGTTGTTAGATTTTGGATATCAGACCATACTAGGTAAATTAAATGTCCCATTTCAAATTTTTAAGATCTTTGACCACATTTATTTTGTGTCTGAAACCTATATTATGTCAAAAATTTGATCACAATCCAAATTCAGACAGTATCAAGCTTGAATAGTGTGTCCAAACTTGCCCCAACTGTTCAGGGTTTGACCTCTGCGGTCGTATCAGGATGCGATGGCGAAGCATTTTATTTTTTAATGTATTAAATGCCTGAAAGCCTGTTTATTTGATATTTGATGGTTGTTATTTTCATTTTTATACACCCGCAAAATTTTTTGTGTTCGTATTATGTTATGGCGATGTCTGCGTCAGACAGTTTGGTTTGCAGACAACAACTTGTATAAGTGTATGGATCTCTATGAAATTTTAGACAATGGTTCCATACCACAATAGAATGGTTGGGATTGATTTAAGGTTTTTTATACGCCCGTTTACGGGACATATTAAGGTATACCGTTGTCCATTGTCAATATGTCGGACATTAACGCTTTAACCAATTTGCATGAAACTTTGATGAATTGTTCATATCTATTGACGTGAGCTCCCTTTTGATTTTTATAAATTTTAGATTTTACGTTTCCGAGTTATGGGGTTTTCTTCATTAAAAAAGGGAGGATTTTCCATTTTTCGCACAATAACTCAAAAACTCCTTCGGGAGTTCTCATGAAATTTTGGTAAATTGTTTATATCTGTTGTCTTTCGCTCCCATTTGATGTTTAAATATTTTCGATTTTAAATTTCCGAGTTATGGAATTTTATTCATAATAAAGGGGTGTTTTCTAGTTTTCTGTGATTATCTTTAAAGTGCTTTGGGCAGTTTTGGTTAAACTATGGTGACTGATTTATATCTATGAAGATAACCTCCCTTTCTGATATGACATTGAGAAGTTATTGAACTTTATTCTTTGAAAATTTTGCGGGCGTATCATGCGCTCATGGCACAGCTGTTTATTTTTTTAGTTATTAGCTTTGGACAGATAAAATATATGCATCGTAGGGGGACATTGGAACTCTGTTCTTTTATTATAAATACATATGGTAAAGGTACATGAGAGTGGATATAGTTGATGGGTAAACATCAATCTGCAGATATTATCTTAAAAGTAATATTTATAAATATTAGAAAAAAAAATGAAAAGGACATATTAAACGTGACGATCATTTACATAACCTAAAAGATGAAAAGAACACACCAAGTTATTGAACAAAAACAAACAAAAAATACATCTAAATTAACAAGTTTATTTTACAATTAATTACAAACAATTTGATTCAACAATTCAATGCATGAAGTAGCACTTACATGACTACATACTGTAAAAAAATTCCAGAACTGACATTTTCAAGCATTACTTCTAATGCTAAGAATGCACTAGAATGCAAGATTTTAAAAAAATCCTAGGGGGTAATATCCCCTCCCCCCCAAAAAAAATTAAAGGCCTTTAAAATGATATTGGACCCCTCAAATTGAATGAACGGAAAACCCTGAAAGCAACATGGCCAAAATTGTCAACTGACTCCTTATAGGATAAATTGTCCCTGAATGATGATTTTGACCGTTTTTTGGGGCATTTTTGTTTAAATTATTGAAGATTTAGAAAAAACATTAAAGAGCAAAATAAGATCTACAAGCAAGTCAGTATGGCCAAAATTGTCAGACTCTTTATAGGATTTATTGCTCTCTGAAAATGTAGGATTTATTGACCTCTGAAAAATTGATAGATACAAAATCTACAAAAATGTCACTATATAAGATTTAAAATTAGGCAAACATAACATACCCTAAAAAATAGAATGAAGTGAACACCCTGAAAGCAACATGGCCAAAAATGTCAACTAACTTGGCAAATGATCAATTGCCCTTGAATGATGATTTTTACTGTTTTTTGGTATTTTTGTTCAAGTTATAGATGTATTAGAAACTTGAAAGAGCAAAAAATAAGATCTACAAGTCAGTATGGCCAAAATTATCTCAAAAATGTTGATAGATAGGTAGTAACTGTAAAAAGTGAAAATCATCATCAATACAAAATCTACAAAAATGCCACTAAATAATTAAACATATCAAAATGGCAGTATTTATCTTGGGAGCCAATTGTTTTTATGTGAAATGTATAAGAACTTTAAAATGATTTTAAGGAATATTATATGTATGAGGTGTTTGTTTTTGAAAATATTTCTTTGTTTTTTTCAGTTAAATGGATTGGTGTAGGACAAGCCAGAGAATCCATTATAGAAGTAGATCAGATATAACAGAGTTAATCTGATGAAAGAAATCGTTATTTTTATAAAGGGTTTTACTCCAATTAGTTCTGATATATTTTAATAAATTTTTTGGAGGTTTTTATGACTGAGATGCTTATATTGTATTTTGCTTTCTTGTACTCTGTAATAAGGGCCCTGCACAAGGATGTTGGAGCCCTATAGTTTTCACTTTGTCCATCTATCAACAATGTTTGTAAACTCAAATACTCCAAAAGAATTGGTAGGAGGTCAATGAAATTTTGCACTGGTTTTTGCATATAACGTAAATGTGCATATCATTTTTGGTGAAAATCAGGCCATTAGTTTTGGAAATACTGTGACATTATTAACCAATCTCAAGTTTAAGAAACACATTTTTGTGCTAGGATGTCAATAAAAAATTGATTCTTTTTTGTTTCCCTTATGGGAGGGGGAGAATTGCAGTTAACTATTTTTGTCTTGTCTAAATAAAAAAAAATCACAAAAAGTACTATTATGTGCTAGGATTGCAATGAAAATTGATTTTAAGGTAAACTATGGTATTCCAAATTGATTCCCAGTTTCAAAGGACAAGGTTCACTTTTTATACGACTGCAAAAAATTTGCGTTCGTATATTGCTATCACGTCGTCGTCCGAAGACATTTTTTTTCAGGACAATAACTTTAGTTTAAGTGTATGGAACCAAAAGGTTCAAATTCTCAAAAGGAAGGTTGGGATTGTTTTTGGGGGTAATGGTCCCAACCGTTTAGGAATTGGGGGCCAAAAAGGGGCCCAAAACAAGCATTTTTCTAGTTTCAGGACAATAACTTGTGTATAAGTATTTTGATTGCTTGGAAATTGTACTACAATGTTCAATACGACAAGTAGAAGGTTGGGATTCATTTTTGGGGTAATTGCCTAAACCGTTCAGGAAAAAGGGGCCAAAACAAGCAATTTTTTCTAGTTTTCAGACAATAACTTGTGTAGTGTATGGATGTCTCTTAAATTGTACCACATTTTACAAAAAGAAAATTTCTTCAAATATAATTATTTTTTGGTGGAGGGGGGGGGGGTCAATTTTTTTTCCTCAAGATTTAAGAAATTATCAATTTTCCACACAAAAAAAATTGGGAGGCACAATTTATTTTTCTAATTATTTATATATATATATAGTCTGAAAACAGATTTACTAAGTATGCGCAACAGCACAGTGTATTGCACAATAGCAAGAAATCTTCAATTGAATATAAATTCAAATCATATAACCATGGAAGTATTATTTTACTTCCATGATATAACCAATTTCAAGTTCTTTGACTACATTTATTCTGTGTCAGAAACCTATAATGTGTCAAATATTTAATTACAATCCAAATTCAGACCTGTATCAAGCTTGAATATTGTGTCCATTTTTTGCCCAATCTGTACAGGGTTGGACCTCTGCAGTCGTATCCAGCTGCACTTGGCGAAGCACATTTTTTGCAAAATATGGCCTGAATTTCAACTTCATCATAAAATATCACAAAGGTTGCAATTTGGTTCTTAAATAGAGTCATTTCAAAAGCTTAAATGCTAGGTAAATCAAATTTCATCATAAAAGTATAGGCTCCAAAGTCAGCACATAATGGAGAAGTTGTCAAAATACAATGATTTTGTGCATTTTTCGGACCTGAAAGCTTTTGGAAAACCTTGGTCACAACCCATGATCCAAAATGTTCTGCAACAAAAGGTGCCAATGTTTATATTGAATTCTAAAAACAAACATTTTCTGGATCAGGTATGGCAGCCAAAGTTGATTATGATTAAAACTGTCATATTAAAATTACGGGAAAATGGGACCAAAACTGATGTTACAACAAATATAATGCATAATTAAGGGGTCATAACTTTATATTTTAAAATGTGAGTTGCCAAAAGAACTTATTTTGTATTAATAGTAACATCACAACTCTATCTACATAACTCTATCTACGTGAAATTTGTAGTATTTTGGCCTGATTAAAAGAGAAAAAATATCTTGGGGTCAGTTTTATCCCTTCCTGAACCTTCTCCTTTTTACAGTAAAAATAGTTTTTGCTTAAATCAATCTCAGACTTTGAAAAGCATATTTGATTGCTTAGATTGCAACGAAAATTATTTTAAAGGTACACAATGCTATTCGAAATCAATTAGTAGTGTCAAGTTTTAAGTAAAAACTTTTATATTTGTTAAAAATCACAAATTTTGAGAAACATCTTTTTGTTCTAAGATTTCAATGAAAATTTTTATATGTAAAAGATGCTATTCCAAATTGATTTCCTGTGTCAAAAATTACCCATCGACCACCATCTCTGAAATGGCTGCCCTAATACATAATGATATCATAGTCAGTTCAAGATTTATGAAACTTGAAACCCTATTAAATGTATTGGTTTGTTTGTATCAGAATTAATTATTTGTTTATGTGCAAGCATCATAAGTTTTCCAGTTTTATTTTATTTTTACCTTAATATCATGATAGTATATGTATGTGGTATCAATCATGTCTCTACTTTCTTCAATAAAATACTAAGCTATTTAATTTTTGAGAAATCATATAAATTAAAAAAAGTTCTTTGTAGTTGAGACATCTGTAGGACCCCTAAGGTTGTTCCTTTTTATACGACCATTTTAGACAGGATGTATTATGGTGTTCAGTAGACCATATGTAAACCATTTGTACCCTAACTCAGATATGTTTCAACCAATTCTCATGAAATTTATCACAACATTAGGATTGATAAAAGAAAGCTCCATTGACTTTCATGATTTCCAATTCATCATTCCAGAGTTATGGGTCTTTATTTATTTGAAATTGGAATCTTTTTTTAATGTGTACAATAACTCAACTTTGCTGTGATACTTTTTACTGAAATCTTATCACAAGGCTAGAATTATCAAAGTAGCTCCCTGTCCATTTTCATGATTTTCACTTTTGTTTTTCCAGAGTTGTGGGACTTAGAATGCGAGACATAGGGAAGTAATCCGTCAGCACCAGCGTAACTATTTCTATAGAGCTTTATATTTCAGAAGGGAAAACACCTGGATGCTTAACCTTGTATATAGATGCCTTGTGTTACCAAGTTTCTGTCTGTCATATGTCCTTTGTCCTTGACCTCATTTTCATGATTCAGTGACTGTTTTGTTTTGTCATATCAATTTCTTACCTAATAATATTTTTGGTATATGGGATCCCTGCAAGGTTACATGTCTGTCAGACAGTGTTCACTTAACCTCGACCTCATTTCATGGATCAGTGATCCAGGTTTAAAGTTAAATGATTAGTTCTGTTTCTCAGATACAATAAGCAGTAGGTCAACTTTATTTGTTGTATAGAATGACATGTTTGTCTGGCATGTTTCTTCTGACTGTGACCTCATTTCCATTGTTCATTAGTCAATGTTATTTTTTAACGTGATTTGGTTTGTTTTTCAGATACTATAAGGAATGGGTCAACTATATTTGGGGTATGGAATGATTGTAAGGTGTACATTTCAGCATGTGCACTCTTATTCACTTATCATACATTAGTATGGATTAACTTTCTCAAGCTTTACAAAGGTGTTGAGATAAAAAGAAGCTCCCTTTTGATTTTGAACATTGTCCAGTTGTGTATTTCTGGTGTTAATGGACTTTTAACGTCACAGGTGAGCATGAACTAGATGAAAGTACTAATAACAGTACAATTGCTGTTTGAACCTCAACAATAACAGTACAATTACTGTTTGAACCTCAACAATAACAGTACAATTGCTGTTTGAACCTCAACAATAGCAGTACAATTGCTGTTTGAACCTCAATAATAACAGTACAATTGCTGTTTGAACCTCAACAATAACAGTACAATTGCTGTTTGAACCTCAGCAATAACAGTACAATTGCTGTTTGAACCTCAATAATAACAGTACAATTGCTGTTTGAACCTCAGCAATAACAGTACAATTGCTGTTTGAACCTCAATAATAACAGTACAATTGCTGTTTGAACCTCAACAATAACAGTACAATTGCTGTTTGAACCTCAGCAATAACAGTACAATTGCTGTTTGAACCTCAGCGCACATACTAATATGAGGGAGCTATTATTTGATTTTTATGGGGTGGCAAGGATGTAATTTGAAAAAAAATGCAGGATGAGCAACTTGGCAAAAGAAAAAAAGGCAGGATGACAATTAATGTAAAAACAGTCAGGATAAACTAATGAAAAAAAAATGCAGGACAAAATTTTCATCCCCTCCCCCCCCAATAAATGGTAGCTCCCTAAGTGTACAAATCTGAATTTAGAAATATACAAGGACAGGACAGAAAAACAGACATAGCTTTTTTTTTTTCGTTTATTGTTTTGCATAGTTTGTTCTTATGTTGTGCTGTTACACCACTGTCCCAGGTTAGGGGAGAGTTTGGCGCCAACAAACTAGTTTAACCCCGCCACATTCTGTATGTGCCTGTCCCAAGGCAGGAGCCTGTAATTCAGTGGTTCTCATTTGTTGCTGTATATCATGTATGTTTTTCGTTCATTATTTTGTACATAATTCAAGCCGTTAGTTTTCTCGTTTGAATTGTTTTACATTTGTCATTTCGTGGCCTTTTATAGCTGACTATGCGGAATGGGTTTTACCAGAAGTCCATTACTAGGGCTCTAGTAATGGACTTCTGGTTTTTACTCATTGATGAAGGTCGTACGGTGACCTATAGTTGTTAATTTCTGTGTCATTTGGTCTCTTGTGGAGAGTTGCCTCATTGGCAATCATACCACATCTTATTTTTATATAGCAGCCTATAAATTACTGATATGGGAAAAAATAGATCCAGACCTAAATATAAATGAACTTGACAAATATCTGCAATAGCTACCAACCCATGAAACAACAGTTGATGATAAGCCAACCGTTTTATTGTCTCGCCTTGACGGAGTCAAAAAGCGAGACATAGGTATGCTGTTTCCGGTGGCGACGGCGGCGGCGGCGTTAACAATGTATTAGTTTGTGATTAGGTCTAGTTCATGGTGAACCACTAGTGGTAGGTCAATGATATTTGGTATGCAGTTGTATTAGCATTGGCACATCTCATTACCATGAAGATTATTTGGCCCCGCCCCCTCGGTCAAGGTCTATTGACTTTGAAATTTATCATAGTTTACATGTATTAGTTTGTGATTAGGTCAATTTATGGGGAACCACTAGTGGTAGGTCAATGATATTTTGTATGCAGTTGTATAAGCATTGGCATATCTCATTTCCACGGAGATTATTTGGCTCCACCTCCTTAGTCATGGTCTATAGACTTTGAAAATTTTGCTAAGTTAACATGTATTAGTTTGTGATTAGGTCAGTTCAAGGGGAACCATTAGTGTTAGGCCAATGTTAATTGGTGTTCAGTTGTATAAGCATTAGCACATCTCATTTCCATGGAGAATATTTGGCCCCGCCACCTCAGTCATGGTCTATTTACTTTGAAACTTTTGCTTAGTTTACATGTATTAGTTTGTGATTAGATCAGTTTAAGATGAACTGCTAATGTTAAGTCAATGACATTTGGTATGCAAATTTATTGGCATTTGCAAGTATCGTTCCCATGGAGATTATATAGCTCCACCCTTGATCATGGTTCATTGACTTTGAAACTTTTACATAGTTTACAAGTTAATGTTTGTGTTTAGGTTTGTTTAAAGGGAACGACTTATAATAAGTCAATGATATTTGGTATGCAGTTGTATTAGCATTGGCACATCTCATTCCATGGAGATTGTTAAGCCATGTACCTTCAGTCATGTTCATCGACTTTAAATATTTGCATAACTTACATGTTAAAGTATTGCTATTTTAATTTCAACATTTGCATTATCAAAATTACAAAAAGGCGAGACATATCTCTGTGATAACAGTTTATGGAAATATTACATAAAGATACTTAAACAGATGAACCTTCAAGAATTACTGAATTAAGGCAGGGATCCAAACAAAAAGCTTCTCATATGAAATATGCTGTGAGACCAAAAGATAACCATCCTCTCTTTTAGGAATAAAAACAAGCTATAGGAATTTCCGGGAACAACAGAAAAGAAACAATTCATCCAAAAACTTGAAGAAAATCCAGACGACCAAATGTAAGCTCAAACGATGGTACTGATTTCCAGAAAATGTGAGAAAGTGTTTTAAACAAGAGCAAGTTCTTCCAAATACTCCCCACATTCAACATGATGAATATTCTAGCAAGTTGCGCATGATTCAAAACCGGCGTGACTTTTTACCCCAATATACCCCAACATACCCCATTATACCCAAACAAACAGTTTCGACATAATTTGATTGAATAATAATGTTGAACAAATTGTTGAGTTGAGTTAGTTAGAGGTTTTGGTCACTTGAAACTTTAATATCTCAAGAGACTTTGCTGTGGCGATATCTGGCGGCAATTTGTTCCAATCCTTGGCGGTATTTATGAAGAAGGACCATTTCCAACAATCTTTGGTGGATGGCTGTAATAGGTAAGTATGATATCCTGTCCGACTGGTATCGGGTCCGTTCGCCCTAATTACATGTTCGCCCTGGGTCCGTTTGCCCTGAGTCCGTTCGCCTATAGAGTCCGCCCTAATTTTTATAAAAAAATCTCCAAATTCATGAATAAACATGGGGAATTTAAAAAACAAAATAATGGTTTTTGTTTTGGAGCATTAATCAGGTTAACTGGCTTCATTGTTGCAAGGTGCGACTTTGATAACCTATTGGATCTGAATCTGAATCAAGAATATTGTAAAGTGCTCAAGGCTCAAATGATCTCTTGATCTTCATCATCCTATATCACTGATAATTAAATGCAACATAGCACAAGAACAACAATCAAAGAATCCTGAAAAACAAAAACGGAAAGTTAAATGGGATAAAGTAGATAAATCTAGATAAGAAGTGACTATAAGAAGAGAGATTGGAGATTATGTTGAAATGTTGAACACTGATGACATCAATATAGAATTGATCATCCTACAGGCAATGGACCTCTTAAATAACACTGCGAAACAGCTGGACCCGCAGAAAACGTATGGCAAAAATAAATTGAAACTCAATATCTGGAACAAAGAAATTTCGGAATCTTTAGCAGCAAACGAATTAGCATATAAAAACTGGAAAACAGCTGGTAGACCTACCAATATAGATAATATACTCTTAAAGGAGAAGAAACTCACCCGTAAATCTTTCAGGACAGCCATTAGAAACGAAGAAATTAAAAGGAAGCATAATGAAAGAAATGACATCATCAATTAAAATCAGAACGACAAACAGAAATTTTTCAAACTAATACGCAAACAAAGACAAAAGGGGAACACATTCATAAATGACTTACATGTTGACAACGAAGTCTTTGAAAGATAGAATATAATAAACGGCTGGAATCAACACTTCAACAAACAAGCAGTTCCTTCAGAACACCCGGACTTTAACTACCAACACCTAACTCTATGCGAACTGGATAATTACTCTTTAAAAAAGAAAGGATAAGTGAGCATTATATTACCAAACGCGTAGATCTAGATACTATTGAGAAA